ATAAAGAAATGCATACATATATTGTAATCAAAATATTAAGTTGAAATGTAATGATATAAACTATTATGTATTTAGTCATATTAATTCAGGAGATGGTATGTCTGTAATAAGTAGTCCTAGTTTCTTTTATGGAATTTAGAAATAAGTAGAATTTGATTTCAAAGATGAATTAAATGTATCTATTACAATAAATGGTATGGATTTAAATAAGAAGACTGATCTTATGATTTACAAATAACTTACTCAAAGTTTTAATAAGTATCTTAAATTCATAAGATAATGTTATGATAGAACAACTTTTTATAAGTTCTTTGTAAAATCATAAGACACTCTCATATTTGAATTTGATAAATTAGGTAGATTAATATTTTTGTCTCGTCCCATTCCTTTAGAAATAAAAAAGGAATTCAATATCAATTTTGATCCTAAGAATACTAAAGTGACATATTAATAATTATTTTAAAATGAAGAGTTGCTAAAATATATTGAAAATTTCCTATAAGAACATAATATATTAAGAGATAGTGATTAATAATATTAGGTATTTATGAAAATGGAGGAACGTAATTTTAAGGGATTTTTTATAATCTTTTAGTAAGGTTGGTTCAAATATGATTAGAAGAAATTCGATTTAAATGATCCTTCATTATAGAAAGAATTGTAGAAATAAATTATTCAATAAGAAACAATTAGATTCATTGATAAATTAGAATAAAACAATCCATAGATTTTAAATTCTGTTGTATAAATGTTTAAACCAAGATCTACTTAAAGATAAACTGTACATTATAGAAATTCCATTTTATAATTTGAACCTGCAAAACTTGGAGTTTAACATAAATGTTCATTACGATTAGAGGATTTAGATACATTTTGTTAAGTTCCTAATATTGATAATTTTGATTTCAATATTTTGATAGTAGAGGAAATAGTATAAAAATAATTAGTTGTTGTTGAAATATTGAAATATCATAATTTAATTAAAGAATATGATATTCCATTAGATACACTTTGTAAATTTTTAAGTGAAATAGAGTATAAATATAATAAGAAAAAGAATGTATTTCATAATTATGATCATGGTATTTCTGTTATGTAGAATGTTCATGCTATACTATTATAATTGCATAAAACAAATAATGCTTCTATTTTATCATTATTCAATTAATTTGCTTTATTATTATCTGGATTATGTCATGATGTTGCTCATACAGGGAGAACAAATACCTTTGAAATAAATAGTTTATCTAATTTAGCTATAAGATATCATGATAGAAGTGTGTTAGAATAACATCATGCAGCTAAATCTTTGAAATTACTTTGTGTGCCTGCAACAAATATATTATAAAGTTTTAAAGGGGAAGAGTTTCGTAAATTTAGGAGAATGTTCATATCAAATATTTTATATACTGATATAACAGAGCATTTTAATTTGATTAAGAATTTTGAATCAAAAGTATAAGAATCAAATTTTGGATCATAAGATGAGGATATTAAATTATTAAGTGGTATGATTATACATACATCTGATTTTACAGGAGGAGCTAAATAATTTGAATTGTCTAAATAATGGTCATTTAAAGTGAATAAAGAATTTGAAGAATAATATGAATTAGAAGGTAAATTGGGATATCCATAATTACCATATATGAAAGATTTACATAAAGTATGGAAATTAGATAATATAATTTTTAGTTACCTGTGATGGCAAAATAAGAAGCTGGATTTTTTAAATTTATTGTGAGACCATTATGGCAATCGATGTCTAAATATCTAGATAACAGTTTATAATAGTAGGTAGATTATTTAGATGAAACAATCTAGAAGTGGGAAGAAATTGCAAATTCTGAATGATATTAATAATTAATGATTACATTTTCATAATCAAAGAGTCGATTCTCTCTATATTATTTAGAAGAAAGTGAGAAGTATTTGTAAGATCTTTCTGCAAAGGTACGACAAATCAATATGATGAAAGGTGATGAACGGTAAAATCATATATAATATTTTTAATAGATTAGAGAGAGGAAAAGTGCATATTTGTTCAAGGACATTAATATTCGAACCAGAGAGATAGGAATTACCTATTCAGAAATTGTTCTATAAAATGATTACAACACCTTTAAAGTAATCTAATTGCATCAGCTTTCGAATTAAACGCATAATAGAGATTCATACTTAAGGACCACCTTCTCCTTATGTTTATTTAGATGACATCGATATGGAAATATAAATTGAACCATTATTTGACAATATTAAGATAGTATTTGAATTGATTGAGAGAATCTTACAAATTAATTAACAAAAACATGATGTTGAAGGAGAAGTTGAAAAATTGGATTCAGAGAAATTGCAAAAAGTTAGATTCAATATGAGTTTTGTAGAATCTGTAAGTGAGAAACCTTTGATTCAAAAGGAAATGTTAGTACGTCGAATTATGCCATTGATTTAAACTAAAGGTAATTATTATTGTGCATCATATTAGGTATTTTGTACATAACTAATAAAATTATTTATTTCTAACCATTCTTCAAAGTGACATTAAAACCATGTAAGAAGATTCCAATAGAAGAGATAAAGATCTTGTATAAGAGAAGATTTGAATTAATGGATATTGGTTTAGAAATTATTTTGAATAGCGGCAAAACTATCTATTTTGCATTTGAAAATCAAGAAAGAATGGAAGAAGTATATAAAGCACTTATAGGTTATATATTATATTTATATCTTTAGGTAAAGTAACTATTGAAGCTGAAACTAGTTTAGAAAAGATGTAATACTTATGGTAAAGTGGATAAATATCAAATTTTGAATATTTGATGCGATTAAATTAAGCTGGTAATAGAAGTACAAGTGATTTAACTTAATATCCTGTCTTTCCTTTAATTATTGTTGATTATGAATCTTCAGAATTGGATTTGAATAATCCAGCCACATTTCGTGATTTAAAAAAACCTATTGGAGCTTTAAATGAAAAGAGATTAAAGGAATTCTGGAATAGATATTAAGAGATGCCTACTCCTAAATTTCTTTATGGAACACATTATTCTACTCCTGGATATGTGATAGGTTATTTGGTTAGATAGAAACCATAATATATGTTAAAATTGTAATCTGGAAAATTTGATAAACCAGATAGATTATTTAAAAGTATAAAGGGAGATTTTAAAAATATTATTAATAATCCTACATCACTTAAAGAATTGATACCTGAATTCTTTATGGATGATGATTCATTTTTGGTCAATAAGTTTAATTTGGATCTTGGGATTAGATAAAATTAAAAAAAAGTAGGTGATGTTAAATTACCTAAATGGGCTAGTAATGCTAAAGAATATTTGAGATTAAATAGAATGGCTTTAGAAAGTGAATATGTTAGTAATTAATTGCATCATTGGATTGATTTAATATTTGGATACAAATAAAGAGGACCTAATGCTGTTGAGGCAGCTAATAGTAATATAATAATTTATTATTTATTTTAGTATTTCATTATTTAACATATGAAGGTACAGTATAGATTAGTAGTTTGACAGATCCAATTGAAAGATAAGCAATTGCATGTTAAATAAATGAATTTGGATAATGTCCAAAATAATTATTTAAGATTGAACATCCACCTAAATATGCATTGAGAAGTGGATAAATGATATACAAATCAGTTGAATAGATTAAATAATAAAATGAGGAAGAGGTTCCAATTAATGTGGAAGGATTAATTTGGGAGAATTTAGATAAGAAAGATTAATTTACAAATAAAGTTATTTCCAAGGCACATAAAACGTATTTACTTAATATATATAAAAAGTAATATCACAGATATGGTAGTGTTAGAAAAGAAAAATCTATTAGTTACAATAGGTTAAGATGGTTTTTTAAAAGTTATTGATTTAAAAGAATTTACTGTTTTAAAATCTTTTAAAGTAGATGAATTTTGTTTAAGTGTGATAGTTGTATTAAAATAAGATGAAATATTTGCAATTGGAAGTTGGGGATCATAAATACATGTTTTTAATATAAATTATGGAAGCAAAGTATAAGTTGTTTAAAGATTTAATAATTCTGTCAGTTCTCTTGTTTATTTATAAAAGAAAAAAATATTGATAACAGGATCATGGGATTGTTCATTAAAAAAATTTGAATGTTCAGAAAATTAAATTAAATAAGATACTGAAGAAATGATTGATGATTGGGAAGCTTAGATTACTCATATTGCTGCTACTGATGATGAATCCATGATTGCAGTTGGAGATGTTGATGGTAAAGTAATTACAATAAGTACCAGTAATTGGACATAATAGAATCAATTTGAAATTAATGGAGAGAAAATAGTTAAATTACTATTTTTTAAAACAAGTTTGCTTGTAGTAGGTGATACATAAATTAAGATGTTCAACAATACTAGTTAATTATTGGATTTTAAAATAGATAAAAATAATGGAATTATAACTGATGTATTAATAGATCGTGAGAAATATCTTGTTGTTAGTAATAATATCTTATAATCTATTAAGGTACAAAAAAAGGATATGTTGCAGTATTTTCTATGTTATTAGAGAGTAAATTAGGACATCTATTCACAGATTATTAGACTTAACCAGATTTGATGGTAAATTAAGATTAGTAGTTTACAAAAATGTCATTATAAGATAAAGCATTAGTGTTGGCAAGTTAGAATGGTAGTGTCAACATATTACAATATTGATATAATATATTGATATAATATATATAATATATATATATATAGTGTAATATTAGATAATTACATATATTATCTTTTTCCCTTTCTTTATGATATTTAAGATCTACAATAAATGAGTTATAATTGTTATATGAATATATGTATATATTGATACAATCATTTATAAGCATCTTAAACCTTCCTGAAGGAATCGATTAGATGATTTGTGCATTTCTCTATCATTAAAATATAAGAATATACCAAGACATTAATGATTTTCTTTTGTCAAAACATCATCTTTTGAAGATAATACNATTTGGGAGAATTTAGATAAGAAAGATTAATTTACAAATAAAGTTATTTCCAAGGCACATAAAACGTATTTACTTAATATATATAAAAAGTAATATCACAGATATGGTAGTGTTAGAAAAGAAAAATCTATTAGTTACAATAGGTTAAGATGGTTTTTTAAAAGTTATTGATTTAAAAGAATTTACTGTTTTAAAATCTTTTAAAGTAGATGAATTTTGTTTAAGTGTGATAGTTGTATTAAAATAAGATGAAATATTTGCAATTGGAAGTTGGGGATCATAAATACATGTTTTTAATATAAATTATGGAAGCAAAGTATAAGTTGTTTAAAGATTTAATAATTCTGTCAGTTCTCTTGTTTATTTATAAAAGAAAAAAATATTGATAACAGGATCATGGGATTGTTCATTAAAAAAATTTGAATGTTCAGAAAATTAAATTAAATAAGATACTGAAGAAATGATTGATGATTGGGAAGCTTAGATTACTCATATTGCTGCTACTGATGATGAATCCATGATTGCAGTTGGAGATGTTGATGGTAAAGTAATTACAATAAGTACCAGTAATTGGACATAATAGAATCAATTTGAAATTAATGGAGAGAAAATAGTTAAATTACTATTTTTTAAAACAAGTTTGCTTGTAGTAGGTGATACATAAATTAAGATGTTCAACAATACTAGTTAATTATTGGATTTTAAAATAGATAAAAATAATGGAATTATAACTGATGTATTAATAGATCGTGAGAAATATCTTGTTGTTAGTAATAATATCTTATAATCTATTAAGGTACAAAAAAAGGATATGTTGCAGTATTTTCTATGTTATTAGAGAGTAAATTAGGACATCTATTCACAGATTATTAGACTTAACCAGATTTGATGGTAAATTAAGATTAGTAGTTTACAAAAATGTCATTATAAGATAAAGCATTAGTGTTGGCAAGTTAGAATGGTAGTGTCAACATATTACAATATTGATATAATATATTGATATAATATATATAATATATATATATATAGTGTAATATTAGATAATTACATATATTATCTTTTTCCCTTTCTTTATGATATTTAAGATCTACAATAAATGAGTTATAATTGTTATATGAATATATGTATATATTGATACAATCATTTATAAGCATCTTAAACCTTCCTGAAGGAATCGATTAGATGATTTGTGCATTTCTCTATCATTAAAATATAAGAATATACCAAGACATTAATGATTTTCTTTTGTCAAAACATCATCTTTTGAAGATAATACACCACATCTAACTTGGCAGATACTAGTAAATCTCAAAAATAGACCTAATGTTTCTCTTTATTAAATATTGTCCATAATAATATAATTCACAACTTTGTGTGAAGGAAAATTAAAACAAATAAGATGTGAATATCAAAATTATTAATTTAATGTCATGTAAGAGACAAAGATCTTCTATTATATGAGACCTAGTTATTGTAATCATTCTAATTGAACCAGAGAGAAGATTGAAAATTTATATTATATTTACATACTATACTAGATATTTTTCAAATGCAGAGCAGCATTGATATACAAACACTATTATATTTGGTCTTTTCTTAGATTCCTTCATATGGAATATATAAAGTAATTATAGAAGATCCATTCTATTTATTAAGAATGATGTTGCCATCATATTGAAGAACATTTATGGAATTAAGATTATCTATAGCTTCTATTTTTTCTTGAATATATGGATAAGATGAGATGATGTCATTCTATTTTGACAATAATGTAATTGGTATTCTCATAAATAGAAATGGCTATGATTGGTAAATAATTACAAAAAAGATATGGAATTAGATAATTATTAAACTATACTATATATTGTTATAACAATCTTCAATAATATTATGTATTCAAACATATCCATTTATTACTCATAGAACTTGAATATTAAGGAATAATTATCACACTATTTCAAGGACTTTATATTAGAGAAAACAAAATCATTGCTTTGATATCTGTTATTATGAAAACTTCTTTAACAATTTTTTTTAAATTGTAAACCACTATCTTTATTTTCAAATAGTATTGTATTTCGAAGGATTTAAAGAGGAAATTCCAAAAATAAATAACTAAACTATTTATTGATGATATCTTTATACTCTTAACAATGATAAAAAGAAAATGTACTCTAAACTTGTTTTGATTTTGAATAATATATTATTCGAAATTATATATATGATCATTATTGCTTTGTTTATTAAGCAATAACATTTTAGAGACTTCAGATTGAAGTATTATTATTAACAATATATTGTAATATAAAATTAAAGGGATATCAATTAAACTACTTATTTCATGCTACTCTTATAGTATAAATTGTCAATTCTTTATCACTTTAAGTCCTTGAAGTATTCTTTCTATGCTAATTTAAAGATGTCTTGTTCTTATGATAATTCAATTTAACGGTTTCATTTTTCAACCTATTATGTATACTAAATTTAATGGTTTTTAATATCTGGTTCTGATATTTTCTTCATCTCTTCCTCACTTTTTACTATATTTCTTTTAATATTGGTAATATTTTTAAAGATAATTATCATCCATCTTCCATCTTGAGGACATTTTATGGAAATATTTAGTTTGAAACTCTACAGCCATGTTTTATTGTTAAATATGCTTTTTATTAGTCATAATAAGTAATTTAGAAATATTAGATCATTTATAATTCTAAGTCAATGACGTTTGTGAACAAATTTTTATATTAAAATTTATAAATTTTTCAATAAAAATGTAAATATAGAAAAAGTTGAGATGATGTATTATATGTTTTATATTAATTTAGTGTATTAAATAAAATGAATTAATAACTTGAAGAAGAACAAAAAGAAGAGGGCTTTAATGAATTAAACTCTGAATCTCATAACTTTTGTGAGGAAATATAGAATGGCTATAGAGTTTAAGATAACTTTTCCGGAGATTAATCACATTAAAAGCAATTAACTACGAGTGAATAATAATTATGCAAAGTAACTCCAACTCCTCCAATGATCCCTATAGAAAATTTTTTGATGCTAGATAATCAAAAATACCCAACTCAATTCTCTGATTATGAATATAGAACAGAGTATTAAGATTAAAACAATTAATAATATTAACAAGAAGTTAGATAAGATTCTATTACTACTGGCAATCTAAATAATGAGGAAGATTCTAAACAAATATGTAAATAACTTAATATCAATAAAAAAATAAAAAAAACAACATTGAGAGAGAAAAACAAAGAAAAACTATCTAAATTAAAAGAGGAAAAAAAAAATAAACCATAATATTCAAAGTTGAAAAAAAGTAAGTTTTGGAATCCTTATTTTATCGAACTTTATACACAATTCTATTAATTTATTTCAAAAGAGTCTTGGTGGTATGATATTATTAAATAAGCTCCTAATTTGATAGTTTACTTAATTTGTAATTATGATAAAGAATTGAATAATGTTTAATGGCAGAGAATAGTAGAAGAATTGAGTAAACAGTATATTGATAAGGTAGAATAATGGCCTAAATATTTAAGCCTTAACTCACCAATAAAACTTATAAAGAAGAAGCTTCAATTAAAATAAGAAGATTATTAAAAACTTATTAGCTAAATTAAACCAATATATTTTAATGAAATTAAAACAAAAAATGTATTAGAAATAACATATAATTTATCATTACATTGGAACGATTTTAAAACATTATGCAAAGATAGAGAAATCGATTTAAATTTGGAAAATAAACATAACGAATCTTTTGAAAATCTTAACAATGGACTTAACAATCAATTGGTTATAAAGATTGATTAACAATAATATATAGAAAGCTTAATTATTTTAGTAGACTAAATTAAATAACACAAAGAAGTTTAATTTACAAAAAAGACTATAGATTTTAACATTACAGATATTTATAATCTATATGAAAATAACGAACTTAAAAAGTAAGTTGAATTAATATTTTAATCTATTAAAATAGGATTTAAATATTATAAAAGAAAAATGAAAACCAAATCTAAATAAAAAAAAAATAAATTTCTTAAGTATATTTCAACTGGGGATAATGATCTTAATAAAATAATTTTTAAACATTTAAAATTGGTGGTAATGAAAGTGGAAGAGATGAAGAATAGTCAAAAATGATTTATTCATAAAGAGAATATTATAGAATTATTATTTTAATTTTAAATACTTATTAATATAATAATTGATCTCTTCTTTATGTTATTATAATGAAAATTATTAATAAAATTTATAAAATTGTATTATAAAACTCTTATGGATGAATTATTAAGTGCTGTAATGTAAAGAAAATCAAAGATAAATGAAGTTATTGAAACAATACTAAAAGCTAAAGTTAAAAGTATTAATTAAAATAAATAATAATAGATGCCATAAGTTAATCTGAAAGATAAACAATATATTCAATTATACGTAAACTTAAAGAAGAAGAAAAAAATAGAACTGAAAAGGAGAATTGGATAGTTAGTATAATGAGAAATACTAAATAATATAATGAAGAACAAATGAAGTATAAATATATATATAATAAAACATAGTCATATATTTGTTAAAACTAATGATATCATGAAATTAATTAGTACATCTTATATTGAATATCCTTATTCAACTCCAAATAGTCTTATTCAATTTTTGGAATAATACTACAATTTACACTAATGGTTCTTTTAATAAATGAATTAAGAATATCAAATAAAAATATAATATAAATAAGCCATCAAATAAGGAAATGTAAATGAATATTAATATCTTAATATAGATTAATTTGATAACTGATTTAATTAAAGCATTGTTAGCATCTTCACGAAAAATACTCAAAGATAACATTGATGATTTAGCATATTTAGTAAATAAAGATTCATCACCTGAAAAACAAAAGATTATTAAAAAAATTGTACCAGATCCTCTAATAGAGCACTTAAGAACTAGATCATCAACATAAAATGGAAAAAAAGATGGAACAGTTATCAGTATGACAAATAGTTTAATTCAAAATGAAGAGCCTATTAAGAAGGAATATCAATTTATTAAAGAGAAATTGAAATAATAATAAAGAAGATTTGTTTTATAACCAAAATTAGCAAATTAGGAGATAATATTTTTAGAATCACCAGTGTATTAATTAAAATTGAAATACTAATAATATTAAAATTGTAATATTGAAAAAAACTAATTTGCCTCTTTATTTAATAATGTTAATCTTGATGATTTAGATGAATAAAATATTTGTGTTTTAGATTATCAAACTATAAAAAGATAATAATAAAATTTTGATGAATTCAAACTTAATTTCGAAAGTCTTTATGATAAGATTAAAGGAAGAAATTCATATATACAATAATCAGTTATGGATTATAATCAATATATCTCAAAAAAGTATGAATTATTATAATATTGAAAGATGTATTAATTAAACAATGATGGTAAGTAGTCAATGCAATAATAATTTAGATAATGAGTTTTTTAATGTACTTAAAGATAAGTATGAAGAATTAACCAATTTGAATGCAGAATTCTAATAAAATATGTCTCATTATCATTTTTGTAAGATTTATATAAAACCACATATAAATCCAATTTGTGCTTGTTACAACAACAATAATAATAGTAAAAATGATATCAATTCAAATCCTATTAAGAATAAAATAGTAATTAGAAAATCTGTCTTGAATATGAAAAAATCAACTCCTATACAATAAAATTAAAATACATTTACTTCAAAGAATCTTATAGAGTAATTAAAGAAAGAAAGGACATTTCATTAATCTATCATAATAGAGGATTCAAATTATCAAGACATTTACAAATACAATAATAGTAATGGAATTAGTCCTTTAAATAATTCTATACTTTAGATTAGGAAAGTAGATTAATCTCAAAATTTAAATGGAAGTGTTTAATATAAATTATACACACATAAACTTTCAAGTGAATTTTAAACATTTAAATAATCTTCATTGCACCATAGAGCTTAATCAGCTAATGGAGATTAATTAAGTATTCCTCCTCTCAACTTAAGGAATTGTGCTGAGTGACATCAGAAAATAGATAAAATGATACAATTTAAATATTATTTTCAACTCTCATGTGTATTCTAATGTCTTTATTTGTTATAACTTAATGACTTTTCTGAGCTCACCTTGTACCCTTGACTAAACTTTCTAAAATTCAATTCAAACTTTTTGTTTGGTAAAATAATCATTTAAGGACGACGATACTTATAATTACTAGTCTGTGAGACACAATCATCAGATATAAATGATTCTTCATTAGATATTTATAATAGCTATCCAAATAACTATTTGCTGTTTTTATTTTCGAGATATTCCTAGATGATATCAATCATTCTTTGATCTTATTATATTACTAGATCTAAAATAAAATAAACATAATCATTACCTTTCAAATGATTTTTTTGTTTAATACTTAATTATTAGCTTTTAGATAACATATAGATTGCACATAATAACTTTCCTGGAATGGAATCTATTTGTTCCATTTAAAGTCTGTTCTTTTATTATTACTATTTATTAATAATTATATTTTGAAAATATCTTGGTTGATTTTAATTAATAAAATTTTATATCTTAATTCATTATTAATTAAGATCAATTATATAATCCTTTTAATGGTTATATTAAAATAATCAAAATCAAATACAAAGAGTTCTTATTAATTTATTTAACTGTATATTATAAAAATATTAATTAAACTATTCTTAAATGAAACTCAATGCAATCAAATATAAATATTATATAATTAAGTGTTATTTTTCAATTCAAAATGATTTCATAGAATGTTTTTATATTTTTAATTAACTGTATTTGATAAATAATAATTATCTAATTATATCAATTTATATGAAAAAAAAATAATTGATTCTAATGATTGAGAACTATCTAATCACAATAGTAGAAAAATAATAAATTTTGAAAGAACTTCTAAATATATATACTAAACTTATTTGAATCATTAAAATAAGAATAATACAATATCAAATTATGAATAAATTTTTTACGTTTAGAAAATTTATGATTAAGTTCTTCTTTGTTAGAATGTAATGATTTAAAAAGAAATTAGAATATAAATAATATTAATATATTATTTTTTTTAATAAAAGATTTAATTAATAATTAAATTTATTTTATAATTGTTATCAGATCCTAAAATCCATAAACTCTTAAAAAATATCAAATGAATTTGATATACTAATTATCATTCATATTTATTCCATTTGTATAAATCAATTTATTTATTTTTTCATGAAAATTTATATTAGAAAGAATAATTATTTTCATTACAATAATATTTACTAGAATTATTTTCATTACAATAGGATAGTCTATTTTTTATAAATTATATATTATAATGAAAATTACCACTCAAACATTTGATTTATTCGAATTTGTTTTCTCTCTATTGCATCGCTTGTATTCATATTTTTTTGATGGGAAGGAAGAGGATAAACTTTCTCAATAGGATGTTGTTGACTATGATTTTGTTTCAGGGTAGTTAGGAAAAATAATTTTATTTATAACACAAATAATATACTATTTCGATTTTAATAAATTAGATCCTATATAGACATCTCTATTGATTTAAGGATACTATATTTTTGTAATTTTTATTGTTTTAGTTGAATCAAAATACATATATTAAGGATATTCTTACACATATCATAGAATAATTGCAAATAGATTAATGAATATAGCTGTTAATTTAATTAGTTTATGGGTGATCCATTAAGACTCATCTTTACTAAATATTTGGGAGAATATTAAAAATTTAAACATTGAGATGCCTGAATTTTTAATAATTTGTCTAGTATTTTTTACAGCAATTGAAATTCTAGAATTATTATTTCAACTATGTACAAGGATATTTTCTTGTATGAAAAATCTTGACAATTCATAGGAATATGATTCTCCTGGGGGATGTGGATATTTATGTTTTGGATAATTTTTTGGAATGCTAGTAACAGGTGGTGGTATTATACTTATGTTTTACTTAAAAAACATTCCATTAAAATCCCTTCTCACTACTTAGAATATCGCTACATAAAGTTGTGTAGGCTTTGAATTTTTAATATCATTTTATGTTTATTGTAAGAGAGATAGAAAATAAAAAGAACCACAAAAATCTAAAAAAGTACTTTGTTTTGGATATGGATTTTGCATTGGAACAATGGGTATAATGTCTGGTCCAGTAATTTTGGGAGTTATAATAATGTATGGAATTTGCAGGGGACTTTGCTGTTTCTACTCATTTAAATGTAGGTGCATTATTTGTTGTTAGTTTGCTATAGAATAAAAAAGCCATCGTTATTAACCATCAAATTTATCAGCTAATACTAACGAAGATTGAGTAAAAAATAAGATTAATGAAATAAGATTTATGTTTATTTATGTTTATTCATTTTTTAATCTAAACTCTGTAAAGTTTGGACTTGTTAAGTTAACTGTTTTTTATATAATAAATACATTTAAATTGGTTTTAATGATTTTGCTTAAATATATTTAAATATTAAAGAAACATAAATTAGAATATACATTATCAAAAAACGAATTAAAAAATACAATTTTTATGGGTTAAATTGGATATCTAAATAGAATATAAAAGACATCTTAATAACTTCATAATTAAAATTAACAATAATAATAAAGGGAATCAATATAACTACATTGTAATTAATATAGAGAATTATCTTAAAGATTATAATTATATTTATATAAATATTTATTATTTGTTAAATACTAATATAAATGATATAAAATAATTGATAATTAATAATTCTCACATTAGGATATATTCTCATATATGATGAAAATATTTACTTTCATAATTTAAAATTTAGTTTAGAATAATAAATAATGTTAATTTATCTATAACAAAAACATTTTTCATATATTAATTATAATATATGAATTATAATAATAAGATTAAAAATAATAATTTAGATAAATTGTATTGCTATATTTAATGAAAGTAATGTGAAGATTAGAATAGTAATCAATATAAGTTTAATTTGATATATATAGAATAATTAACTTTATTCAAAATAAATAAAGAGAGATGTAATGATTATAATATTGATTAATAAATAAAAATTTTATCAGTAAATATATAATAATTTTTGATTTTGAAAAGTGGATAAATAGTTGACTCATATATTAAATAATAAATAATATCAAATTAATAAATAAAATAAAAAAATTGCTTTAACATAAGGATGGATAATATATACAAATTCAAGGCGAGCTCTTCGGTGGGACATCTGAAGAATTTGAATAATGATAAATAGTTTTATTCTGAAGAGGAAACTAGTAAAAAGGAAGAGGAGGAGAAATAGCTTAAAAAAGTTAGCAAACCTCCTAGTAAAATGTCTCAATTCAGTAAAAATGCCACAGGGTACTAAACTGATGATTCTGATAAAGAGACGCCTCGAAATAATAAAGTAGGACCATCAAGTAAAATAATCATAAAAAATGTTAGATCAGAAAGTCTCTAAATTTCGTAATCTTGTGAATACAAAAAAAATAGAAGGTGACAATGACGATCCAAATTATGATGATGATGATGACAAACCAACTACTATTTAATAACAAATGTAACATGTACAATAATAAAATGATGATTAATATGATATAGAGTAATAAGCCAAATAGATGTAGTAAAAATATGCAAAAGCAGATAAACCAAAGGAATAAAAGATGAAGTATATATTATATATGATGTTCATATAGACATTCTAATACACAATAAACTATGGATGTTAATTCTGATGTTGAATAGATGAAAAATAAATAATAATAGGAAGGAAAATTGAAGAATCATCCATTTAGACATTTGATATATGGTCCAAGTATTGGTGAGAATTCGTTTAATAAATTTTTATAACTCACTTAAAGAGGTTTAGTATATGCTAAGAAATGTCTAAAAGGTCCTTCTGATAAATTTATTAAGTCAAAAATGGTTTAATTACCAGAATGCATAATTGTGAAACCAAAAACTTTATTATTGGATTTGGATGAAACCTTGATTCATAGTTGTTCTTTAAGAGAAAATCCATAAGTTACAGTTACTGCCTTTGGAGATTATGGTGAAGAAGCTAAAGTAATATTGTTATTCAATATATTTAGATTCATTTCAATATTAGACCATTTTGTGCTTGGTTTTTATAATAAATGAGTCAATTGTATACTATATATGTTTTTACTGCCTCTTCATCTGCTTATGCTAATGCTATAGTGAATTATTTGGATCCAAAAAGACAATGGATTTTAGGTATTCTATCTCGTGGAAATTGTATGGAAACTAAGAATGGTTTTTTTATTAAGGATTTGAGAATTGTTGGGAATAAATAATTGAAGGATATGGTGATTGTTGATAATTTGGCTCATTCTTTTGGATTCTAAATAGAAAATGGTATTCCTATATTGGAATGGCATAATGATTAGAATGATTAAGAACTTAAATATTTGGCTACTTATTTAATGGAAGCAGCTGATTAAGAAGATATAAGAGTATTTAATACATAGAGATTAAAATTAGATCAACTTATAGAATATAGTTTAGAATGATCTTATTATCATTAATAAATAAATTCAATATAAATAAAAACTTATCATAAAATGGGATCTTGCTGTTCAAGTAATAAGATTGTTAAGGAAACTTATGATTACCCAGATGGAGGAGTTTATGTAGGGGATATGGAAAACAATGCACCAGTATCTATATTTATTATTGTTGTAAGCATGGAAGAGGTACAATTAAGTGGGATAATGGTTCATTATTTGAGGGTGATTTTATAGATGGACGAAAGAATGGAAGAGGATTATTCAGATGGAATGATGGGTAATACTATGATGGCAATTTCAAAGATGAAAAATTTGATGGTTATGGTGAATATTTTTGGACAGATGGCAAAATATATAAAGGTAATTGGATTGATGGTGAAATGAGTGGATAAGGTGAAATGATTTATCCAGATGGCAGAGTTTATAAAGGTTCCAAATTTTATTTGATCTTAAGGCAGTTTCAAAGCAGACAAAAAAGATGGAGATGGTGAAATGACATGGCCTAATGGAAACAAATATATTGGACCTTGGAAGAAAGGTAAATAACATGGAAAAGGTGTTATGATAGATAAAAAAGGGAATTAAACGGAAGGCATCTGGAATAAAGGAAAAAAATAATGAAAATTATTTAAAAGCATTGTTAATCTTGTATTAATTAATCCTTTTAATTCTAAACATCTTAATCATTTTTAATATTATTATATTTTATCATCAATTACAATCTAAATTATCAAATCTAATAAAATAGTATTAAATTATAAACTCTTACCTAAATAAGCATAAAATTTTCAAAATACAATTCTAATAATTATCCTTATTTTAGCTTAAAACTCTTAATTAAAAAAGATTAATTATCTTATTGAGTTGCTAAAAATAAATATATATTAAAATTAATTTATTAATACAATAAATTAAAGCTTTTTAATATTAATATAAATTAGAATTTATATCAATATTATTATATATTTACATTTAGATTTTATATATATATATATTTAAATTATAATTTTAGATGTTAAAATTTATAAAATCTACTTTAAATATTCTAACTATATATTTAATCTATTATACTGGAAATTTTTTAAGCTTTTTATAGACTTAATAGAAAGTTCCAGATTAACTTATTAATTATTGAATCTCGTTAATAATATATTAGAAGATATATAATATTAATTTTTAGAATGTTATGACAAAAGCTTATTACAAATATAATTAAAAGATGATTGAGAATTTAATTTAAATATAATTATACCTGATTTATTTACATCTGAATTCAAAAAAAGAATAGGATTTAGGTGCTCAAATAGATTGATAATTTATTTATAATAAAATACAATTGCTGATGACTTAACCTTATCTTTTTTGTTTTTTTTTTTGCATTAATAGAATGATATCTATTTGTTGTAGATTTCCAAAAATATGTATGATCGCTCTTTTAATCTTATTAGTGATTAAAAGAGTGATCTCCATAAATATATTTAATATTAATGCAATTATTAATATAAGACTTATTCAAAATTACAAAAGGTTATTTTATAATAATCTTATTTATTATTAAAAATATTATAAATATAAAATGAATTAGAAATGCCAAACTATTGGTCACAATTAAAGGTAAATTGAATTTATTTGTATACAACCAAAGGAAATTTTATGGGGTTGTTCAAAATGTTATGAATAATACAAAAATAAATATAGCTTTAAGCCAATTATTTAAATATAGAAAGTATTAAACTAATCAATTCAAGAAATAAATAATAATAATTGTCTTAAATTAATCAATATATTTCAAACTCAATTTAATGAAGCTCTATAATAAGCAGCAAACACTTTTAATCAATCTATAAATTATTTAAAATAATCCTTTGAAATTCAATATAAGGAAGTGCTTGATTTTTTGACTTATTTAAATGGTTTTTCATTTGATAATTTAGACTCTTTTAGCTAAGAAAATTCAAAATACCTATTTATTGTAGTGAATTAAAAGGCATCTCTATATACAAAATTAGAAGTTTAAGCATCATTTACTATTGAGAAGATTAAGAAAATTCATCAAGAAATCAAAAAAAATATGAATGAAGTTTTTGATTCGAGATTTAAATAAATATTAGATGACTTAAATTATAAATATGAAATACAAAATGAATTTAAATAGTAAATCATTAATCTTCAAATTCCAAATGAATATAGGGTTAATAATCATCCTCAATTATCATATTGTTAAAACTATAAATTAGAGTAAGGAGTCTCATATTCTGGTTAATTGTGTAATAATTAGTTATAAGGAATTGGAGTATTAGAGATAGAAAATTAAAATATAATCTATTATGGAGCATTTATAGAAGGTCATTTCACTTATGGTATAAAATGCAAGCTAGAATAGAATTAGTTGTTTTAAGGAAATTTTTAATAAAATAATAAATATGATTATTATATTGATTAAAATGGAATCATGATTAAGGCTAATATAGAGAGGTATAAGATTATTGTTATTTAGATATGATGGGAGTTTTTTAAATGAATTATAAGAAGGAGAAGGAATAAGTCATTATAAAAATAAAGATTCGTATTTTATTATATAAATTATATTTTAGTTATTGCGGAGGTTGGAAGAAAGGGAAATATGATGGATAGGGATGTTTAATTAGTGAGGAGTTTGGATAGTAAATAAATTAAAAAATTATCAATAGAGTTGAAGGGATCTTTAAGGATGGTAAACTAAATGGATATGCTATTTTTTAAAATGCATAAATGAAGTAAGAAAAATGTAATATAATTGATATGAGGGTGATTATAAAGATAATTTAATGGATGGACATGGCATCTTAGAGGATTTTGTGAATAAAACCACATATATTGGATAATTTAAGTAAGGGAAGAAAAATGGATAAGGAACACTTAAGATTTCTGATGAGAAATAGTATATTTAATTAATAGATAGGATCTAGGGTACCTTTAAAGATGATTAATTATGCGGAAAGTGTATAGAAATAACAAAAACTGTTTAAATAGTAAATCTAAAATAGAGTGTGACTGAAACTATTGAAGAAGGTGAATTTAAGAATGGTAAAAAAACTGGAATATTTACTACAAAAATTACTTGTAATAATAGCAAGATAGAGTATTTAATGTTATGATTGATAGGAAAACAAAGTACTTCGAAGATGATATATTGATATACGAAGATGAAAATTGATAATATATTAGTATTAATTATATATTAGTGGAAAAAAAAAAGAATGAAAAATTTGAATAGAATAAATAATCCATATATTATTTTCTTGTAATAATTATCACATAACTTCTGATAATGATTTCAATAACTGGTCTTCCATAAGTAATTTCTTTATTTATCTAAGGATATTAATGAGGAAATGTTGTATGAGACATTTAGAGTATATGGCAAAATGCTTGAGATAAAAATCAAAAAGGAATATTATGAATAATAGAGTGCTATAATTAAATTTGCAGATTCAATATCAGTTAATTACATTTAACTAGAATAGAAAGAATTTAAAATTAATAATCACTTCCTAAAAGTTTCACTTCATGATTATTAAAATTAAGATGAATTTAGAACTGCTAATATATTTGTAAATAACATTCCATCAGATATTTCCAAACAATAATTGTCAATCTTTTTTGAATAATTTGGACCAGTCTTCAATTGTAAAATAAAGAAATAAAATCATTTCAACCAAAAACCTTAATTGTAATTGATACCTTAAGAGTAGTTCTGGTTTTGTGGAATACTAGAATCCTTAGACTACTATAGATTTGATGGAAATTTACTTAAGGTAGCCATTAAAAATAAATGGAAAAATTCTAATCATTTAACCTTTTATAGATAAGACTTAACCAAGAGTGTCAATATAAATGATAATCTAAGGATTCTGTAGAAAATTAAATTAGGCAGAATCTTATATATTTGGAATCTAAAGATTTATTGAATTAACATGGGAATTATTAATAGTAGATTATTTCAATTCTAGAAAATTACAAATGAAAAATTGTTTTGTCAAAATGAAAAACGATTAACCATATATAATTTTAGTATTTCCAACATTAAGTGACACAATTAAATTTATGAAATTAACAGATTTATTTAAAGGACATCCTTGTTTTTAATAAGATTTTAATCATATTCCAACAATATATAAAAATTATTCTGTTGATTTATCTATTTCTTAAACATTTCAACAATTTCATTAATAACATTAAATAATAAATGAATAAATGAAATATAAAGCAAACCAAGATTATTTTAGTGGAAATTTCTCATAATTTAGTTGTAGATATCATTTTAATACTTAAGATTATTATGATGATAGAATATTAGTAATTTCAAATTTAAAATCTACAGTTACTATTGAATAAATGAAAGAATATTTCTAATAATTTGGTTTAATAAAATCATTGATATTGAGGAATGAATAAAATTATAAGGTTAAAGATGAAACTAAAGTATGTTTTACTTTAGCATTAACTTCTTATGATGCTTAATAAATTTTATATGAATATGAAAATATACAAGTTGGATATTAATAATCAAAATTTAATATTTCAGATTCTCCAATAAAAATTTAAAAGCTTCACTATAAACATAATGAATATGAAAAGATATTAAGTGAATTATATGAAGAAGTTTTCAGTAAAAAAGAAATCTAAACAATTGAGATTAAAAGTAATGTTTTAAAAAATAAAGAACATTTTTATAGTTTTGATCAAGTAATTAAAGAATTTGATCATTTTTAGTAACTTAGTTAATTGGATTAAAAATATATTGAATAGTAATTAATTAATTAAATTGTTGCTAATTAATCTTATTTAAATTTGGTAGATTAAAAAAGAATATCATGTATGATGAAAAATAGTTAATATTAGGTTTAATAATAAAAAAGTATTAGAAATTTGAAGATATTATTGAACTTTACAAAGATCCAATTAAATTTATTTTGGAAATAGAAGAAATTGAAAATAATATTATTTTAGATTTATATTCAGAAATCATTTAATAATATTCAACATTAGATGAAATTATGAATAATTTTGAATCATTTTATTCTTTAAAAGATGATCAAAAAATTAATATCATAAAGTTTTTAATGAAATAACATATAATGAAAGAATTATAAATGTCTGATAATTAAGCAAGTTTAATTACTAAATAAATAATAAAGAAATTCAATTACAATATATAAGATTTGATTTGTTTATTAGAAGATAATAATGAATTTTTGAATGTTCTAAACAAAAAAGAATGATATATATATATATATTATATAATTATAATTATTATGAATGCATAAAAATTTTATTATGGAGACGACGTTATTGAAAAAAGCAAGGATTACTTATTTTAAGTTTAAACTAACAATAGTATTGGATCTTAGAGTGGTAAGAGGATGATTATTAAACAGATAACAAAGAATTCATCATAACCTAATCTAGGATCATCATAATTTAATGGTATAAAAAATATTACAGAATACAATACAGATTAAACTGGAATAGATATACTTAATAAAAGAAGAACCTTTATCTTCTAAAAAGAACCTCAAGAATAAGATCATTCAGGAGTTGTATAATCTTCGAAAATTAAAATAATTAAAGTACCATTTAAAAAAATACAAACATCTTGCGAAAATCTTCAAATAAAAAATCTTAAGACACATTCTCATATGAATAGTTTTGATAAAGATTAATAATTTCTTTAAAGTCTTCTTTTTCAAGATTAAAAAAAGGAAGAAAGAATAATAAAATCTAAATTAACTAGATCTCAATTATTAATGCATGCTTAGACTTAAAATTCTGAAATTTCATTAGAATAGGGTTTTAAATATACAACCTAATCATCATTTAGAAGAGAAAGCTAAAAGGAATTAAAGGATAAAAAGTATTCTTACTTTTAATATTAGATTATCAGAATATAAGCAATATAGTTATAAATTAGTAATGGCATTTGATTATATGCTTTAAATTATTCGAAAAGAAAATAAATTAGAAAATCTATTGAATAATGTTTAATAATTTGCAGGATTCATGAATTTAACTTATAATTTAACCAATTTGCCTTTAAACATTAATGTAAATTATTTTTATAAATTAGGGATTAGAATAAATGTTAAAGACTCCAAAGTATTTGTTAAAAACTCTTAAACCTTTCATTCCTTAAAATTTAGAGAAACTTTTATTTGAAGATTAAGAATGTCAAAAGTTTCGATCTCTCACTTTTCCATTCTAATTATTTTATATACTGTTTAATTAATCTGAATTAATTGATATCAGTATGAATTCAGTTGTTAAATTTATTATTAAATAACCAAAAGATTGTTAGGAATTATACCATCAAATAGTGAAGATATTATTAAATTAGAATTGTAATCAACAAGAATTCTAACTAATTTAATAATTATTTGAAAAGTATTATAGTTTAAATTATGAATCATTATTAAATGAAGCTTACTCATATTATAAAATATAGGTTGAATATGAATATGTAAAATAACTTTATTGTTTTTGTATTAAAGTTTAGGAAGCTTTATCTCAGAAAATATTAAATGAAGGAAAAAAGAAATAAATATATGATAAAGGATTTGATTTTAAAGCTGCCTTAAAAAATATTAAATGCAAAGATGTATTATATAAATTATTTAATATAGATTAATCATAATAATTTATTTGTGTAATCCATTCCTCAAAAACATTAGATTAATATATAATTAGATAATTTTGAATAAAAATTTGGTAAAATTAATACTATTTCAAATATTCAGAGAGAACATGCTAAATTGGCTGACATGAAACACAATTAACTTTTTGAAAAGATTCTCAAATTATAATAACATTGAAACTTTTAATTTTAATACTCACTACTATGATTTAATTTTGAATATTTTAAACATATTTGCAAATTGATAAATCTTTCATGTTATACAATCTTCAATTAATAAATAATTTATTATAAATTAGTTATTCTTAAATTTACAATAAAATCTATTATTTAGATGTTAATATTATAATTTTTTATAAGATAAATAAAAAATAAACGAAATAATCATTTAATTCTATCTAAAGAAATCCCTCTTATCTTTGTTTCAGTATTATTTGAAGATCCAAAATCTTTTTCTCTAATATTTTTTGTTGATGAACATAAATGTCCAAATTCTTTTTTTATTAAAATACTCTTAGATTATGATTTCTTTTTTGAGCTACCAGATAAAGATCTCTTAAATTTATAAGGTAATTCAGTCTAATAATTAATTTATAAATTTACTTCTCTTAATTCTTAATCTTCCTCTTCAAATCGTTATTTTTGTTTCTCATTCAATTATAAAACATTTTTAATTGAATTACGAGCTTAGTCTAATGATTAATCATAAGACATTGGTACTATTGTATCTTATTTCTAGGATTTATGTGTTTTATCTTGCATAAAATTTAAAAGTGCTATTCTAGATTATTTTTAAGTTGATTTTCTTTTATCATATGTTTTTTTTAATAGATTCTCTGCTTATTCTGCTATCTATTGTGCTTATTCAATTTATTTAATTTCTTCTTAATCAATAAAATTTAATTTTTTTTTAGGAATGAAATTATCAGAGAACAAATTCTATTATGCAATTCGAACTTATTTATTTTCTTATTAAGCCTTTAAATTTGTAACTGCCAAATCTTTATTTGTTTAAACAAAATCAAAATATTCTATAACATTAAATTCAAGTAATTTATTGAATTCATGTTCTGCTTATTTATCTTTTACCATAACACCTTATGGACAAGTCATTTTTCTAGCTTGCAATAAACTTTTTGTTATTGGTACTTCTTTGTGTACTTCAGCTTCAGCTTAACAGATTTATCTAGCATTCTATTTTACTTCATCTAATGATTAACATTTTTAATAGCTAACAAGATTTTAATTGATATATGATTTAACAACTTAATCTAATGGTTAATATGCATCTAAAAAATATATTAATTATATAGTAACTTTTATTGCTAATTTTAAAAAGTAATTCTTTCTATTATCTAAAGTTCTTTTCAACTTCGCTTTCAATGTTTTTTTCTTTTTCATCTGATTTAGATCCTTAATTTCTTAAATGTATTAATTCACTTAAGAAACTCTATCTATGATTTGAATTGACTTTTAAAGTCTTATTTAATTGAGTTTTGATTGATGAATTATGTGATGTATCAATTTAAGTTAGATGACTTTAATCATTTTTATTATTTGACAATTACAATTGACTATCATTATAATTGGTTGAAGGTTATTCAATTGAATGTTATGAATTATTATGTTTAAGTTTGAATATTTTTATTGATTGATTTTTAACAAAATATTGAGATTATTATTATTATTGTAATATATTGTCTAAAATCAATTATTTAGGCACTTCTCTACTTTTTATAAAAAAGGTTTAATTATTTTTTGCATATTAATACTTTTCAAAGATTTTTTGTTCATATTACTCAACTTAACTTAATTATTACAAATCAAATGCAGATTTGCTATTTTTTAAATGGTCTTTTAATGAAATTTGGAATACATGAGAAAGTAATCTACTTATTTCATTTATTTCATCAACATGATCCTTATAATTTTCTTTAATTTCTGTACTCCTTGTCTCAAATTGTAATGATACTTCCTTACAAATTTTGAAATTTTCTAAAATTCTATTGAAATACACAGCAATTTAAACAATTTCTAAACAACGATCATAACTATATTAAAAGTCATTTACTACTTTTCCATTTGTTGATTAACCAATGATTATAATTCAAAATTAACTAAAATCTAACTGATTAATTTGGCTAATTGCACTTTAACCACATTAAGATCTATATTGCTTTTCATTTTTTCAATTTCACCCAAAATTATTCTAACAGCCTCCATAGCTTATTCAATTGATTAGATATAATACTAATCAGCCTTATTATATTCATCTTAATTAAAATGGAATATATATACACAACTCAAAGTATGCATTTCCTATCAATGTTTGTAATTCTCCTTTAAATAGAGATTATTTGGTATTGGCTATTGTTACATTTTCTACAATCTAGGTAATAAGATTAAGGAATATTGTGGCATAAGGTGTTCGATTATATTTGTGAAAACGATAAGTGTTGAAGAGGGTTTCCATTAATAAAAAATAGCAATTTTGACTTTGGGAATGAAACCAAATATTGGATTTTGGAACATAATTACTAACTATGTCTTGAGAAAAGAACATTTCCATTTTATGAGCCAGACTTATCTATTCTGAATAGAGTTCTTTAAAAAGTTATTTTTTTTTGATTGTTGGAGATGGAGATGCAGCTGGTGAAGCATCTGTTTGATTATTCTCTTTTGCATAGATCTCTAAGAAATCAATGTAAAAGAGACTCAATTCAATGGTGCGATTAAGTAACGATTAAACTTTGTGAGATTTTTCTGAAAACTTTTAGAAGTATCTAAAAATTATTATAGAATAATCATACTTCTTTAGTATTTTATTGCAACAAAATAATAGTCTTCTACATAGTTAAATTTGTAATTATAAAAATTATGGCTAACCTTTAGCCAATTAAGGATCAAAGACTAATCTGTTAATCTTCTATATGCATTGTCTATATTATCCCTTTTTAATTAGATCATAAGTATCGAAAACTAAGTATTCTCCTGATATTATTGATTATTGTCTTATCATAAATTTTATTTATTTAGGATAATAGATAAAAATTGTATTTGATAATTATAAAACTTATATAAATCATAAAAACAAAGTGACACCTTTATTTTGAAATATAGTTTATTTCTATTTTAATTACTTTAAGTTATTGAGTTTGCAATTTGAAAGATAGATGGTTTTTCCAAATAGTTATTATATTCTTCTCTCAATCATATATATTGATTTTTCAGTGCAATCATTATTGGATAAGTTGAGAGTATGTATATCACTTCGTTTCATTAATAGAGTGAGTAAATAGTCTAATCCAATATCAGTGATCCTATTTTTGGTTAATTTAAGAATTTCAATTTATGAATTAGATTTTTGAATTAATATAATAAGATCTTGTATATCTGGATCACTTAAATCTAGATGAAATATAATAATTTACTTTGATTAGTTAAATCTAATTTCTCAATAGTTAATCCTTTAAATAGAAGATCTTTAATACGATTGATACCAGTGGTTTAGAAAAGTTTACTGGATGATAAACTTCTTTAATTTTTAGAATCATTAGATCTTCTTTGTTGAATATAGCCTCCAAAAGTTAATTCTCTTGGATTCAATCTCTAATAAGGTGTATCTTCAAGATGATGAGCATTTTTTGAATATTAAAATGGTTTTGAGAAGGACTTGTCATATTCCTTAGGTTTTGGACTATATTAAGTAAGAGATTAATTAGAGTGATTAATAGTATAATTATTAGAATCGTAATCATTTAATGTATTGATTCTGCTTTTGCTTTTATTTTCTGATCTGTTTTTATTGTATTTTTTTATAGTACAAAATAAAGGCAAGTAATCATAGATAGTTAGATCAAATTTGATTTACATTTCTTAAGTAGCAATGTCTTGAATTAGAAGAGGAGTTTATTTATCTAAATTTTTAATAGTAAGTTCAGTCTATCGAATTAGGGAGTTAACCAAATCTACTTTTGTATTTAGATTATCATTAGATAAGAGTAACAATTATTCAATTCTAACTATTCATAAATAAAGAGATTTACCTTTCTTTTATAGATAAGATTTCAGTAATTGTTTTGTTATCAAATTAAATATGTAATTATTTGATATCATCTTCAAATTTTAAGGCTATAATATTAACTTAATTTAAGAGTTGATTTTCAAGATTCTTGAGTTTAATTTGAAAATCTAAAAAGTTCTATTATATTTATTCAATTAAGGTTCGTTTCTATAGAGTGATCATTTTATAGGCTTCATTACAATTAGTTTACTGGTTTAATTCAAATTATTAATGAGATTCTTGAAGTTGTTAATGACATTATTATAATTATAGTCTAGTGTATGGGATATGTTCTTTTTGATTGATATAGAGTTGTTATTGGATGTAAACTGAATTTTCAGGAATATTAGTATATAGGCGAGTTGTAGATTATGTTATATTATCTGATTGGATTATAGAGACATCATGTTGTGAGGTATGTAAAGTTATTTAGAGTGGGGGATGTAATAATTCTTGATTAGTAGTTAATTAATTGAGTGAGTCAATTTTAATGGATTACCTTGAGATATTGATAAAATGATATACATATCATCAGGACAAATTATTTGATTGTTCTTGAATAGACGTTAGAGACATTTAAGACAATAGGAATGTCCACAATTTAAAAGTTTGGGTATACATTAATTTTAATCCCAAACATTGTAACATGATGTACAATAATATTGATTGTATGTGCTCATTGTATTTAAATTAATTTAATATTTAATGATAAAAATAAGGTAATTGGTAGAGTCTTCTGTATTAAATGTATAATAATTATTAAATAAATAATTAAATTAACATGCTTATAAGAAGTAATAATTCAAATTTTGATAGTTTATAGTGATTAGAAAGATGGACATCTTTGGGTAGCCAATAAATCTGAATCTTGATTTGAGATCTAAGTACCAGACTTTCTTGGGAGGATTGGTTTCAATGTTTATTGTCTTTCTTTTGATTGGCTACAGTGTTAATGAGATCATAGGATATACAATCTAGAGAGGCATACAAATCACTTAAGAAGTAGTATTCTAGATTTTTAAAGATATAGACAAAATTTAATTATGATCCTGATGTTCTTTTACTTAATAATAAGAATTTCATATTTGCCATTAGAGTAGAGCAAGAAAATTTCTATTAGTTTCCTTAATTCGATATTCAAGTTAGATAATACTAAAATAATAATGAAGTTTCATTAGAATTGTAATAATGCACTTTTTAGCAATTCATTAATGTATTAAACTCTAGTTAAGTGCTTGATTTCTTAGAAGCAAATTAAGTTGACACTTGGTTATGTCCAAAATCTGAATTTTCAATTGAATTAGAAGGGACACCATTTTGTATGTTTTTATTTAGCTAAGAAGATAGCTTCTTAATTTTCGAATCTGGTGATAGAGATAAGTGAATGTAAATCAAAGAGTTCTTGGGGTAGTGAATGTTAGACTAGAACATTAAAGGACAGTTATAAATTATAGATGATTACAAAAAATACAGTATATATAAATATTATCTTAGTTCATTAATCCATTCAATAATGAATTTGTTGCAGAAGATTATTTAGACAATTCGATGAGTTTGTATTTTTAACCAGGAGATTTGTAGAGAATAGATTACCAATTTCATAAGCACATTACTAAAGATTATCAGGGATAAATCAAAATAGAGTAGAGATGCCAATAATATTAGAGGATTACTCGATGAATAAGAGTGGAGTATCTTTTCGACGAATACATTCAAATAGATTTACGAAGGCAAAAACAATGCTGTATGGTCTCGTATAGTATTTATGAGAAGCAATTTCTCAACTAATTATAATAGAGAATATTAGACAGTTACTGATCTATTATCTAAAATTGGAGGTTTGTCTTAATCAGTGATTTCTATTGTAGGAGTAATAATTACTTATTATAATAGAGCATAATGTAAATAATAAAGTAGTATTTTAGTTTATTTGGATATATCTAATCGTCTTTATGATTATGATTTTAATATTGAACATGATTAAGGTACTAAAGGTTCAGGTTTAGTTGATCCTCTACATTTTAGTGTTTAACTTCATTAAGATTCCTCATAACCACTTAAAAAAAAGAAGAAAACTTAAGATAAAGCAGACACTATTAAATAACCAGATGAGGATTCAATGGAAGAAGATCCTTAATTTAAAGAAAGAGTAATGAAAGTTGTAGAGGAATAGAAACAAATAATGGATTAATATTAATTTAAAAGTAGAAAACATTTTTTATTAGCAACATTCTAATAAACTATATTAATGAAGAAATCTATTTAATTAAGTCTTAAATACTTTTTTTAAAAACTATTTTGTCAAAAACCAGATCCAAAAGAAGATCCTCATTTATATGTGTTATCTAAAGCACTAACATCAGTAAGATAAGAATTAGATGTATTCTCAATATTAAATCGAATACATTAATTAGAGAAATTAAAGAAAATCCTTTTAGATAGAGATTAATTGATTTTATTTAATTATTCACCTAAACCAGTGATTGCCGTTAATGAAAAAGATAAGGAAACTGATTTTCTACACTATTCTAAATAATAATCTCTTAAATAAATGACATTGATAGAAGTGGCAGAAGAAATTAAGAAACAATTAAAAACAACTTTCTTAACTAAAGAACATCTTAGTATCGAGAATGTTTTTAATTCATATAAAGCAATAGCTGCTAAAAATAGAAAATCTAATCGTTATTATTATAAGATAAATAGAAAATTAAAATAGTTCTTAGGAGATCAAGTGAAAGCTATCTTTAAAGCTTCCAAATTATTAAGATTTCCTGAAGATGAACAGATTCCAGAGATGGGTGTTCTAGAGATTATGTCAGTTGGAGGAGAAACTTCAGCTTAATATCCATTGAGTATGCGTCCATCTGTTAATATAAATCAACAATACTAATGATAATTAATATATATTAACGAATAAATATGTCTGTTATATTTGAAGACATCGAGGTATTTTTACATACAACTAAATTAGAATTTACACTATCTCTAATTTCAATTTAATCAAGCTCTACGTTTAGGCAAACTCATATATTATATAGGTATTACTGTAATATAAGTTAGAGAATTCTCTCCTTCGTAAAGTCAGTATTATTGATAATAATTGTACAGATAGTGTTATAGTATAAGCTGAAGTATCTATGATTTGTACAGATGGTAAACTCATATATTCTTTATTATGTAACAACCATTTTATAATTATATTAGAGAATGGAGACATCTATTAAATTGAATAACCACCTCGTCTAATTAAAAGTGGACATCATTATAAATGGATATCTCCTGTAGCAGCTATTGATTAATCTCATAGAGGTTTTATTTGGAAAACAAATAAATAGATTTATAGTCATTGCAAACACATTTCTAATTATTAAGATAGAATTACTCTTGTTACTATTGGTGGTAAAATATTCAATTTTATTGATAATAAAACAATCCCAATACAATAACTTAATGGATTAAAATTGAATACATATTTTAAGAAATCAATTCTTTTCTCATTTGGAGGAGTGGCTATAACTGAAAGTGGAGAATTCTATCTATTCAATCAAAAAATGATCAGAGTTAAAATCAAAGACATTCAAGATTTCTTCTTTACTGATAAGTACATATTTGCTATTCAAAATAATCTTACTATTTTACAATTTACTATTGAAGAAATTCAAACACATTAATTCTTTACTAATTAATAGATTTTCTAAAAAATGCATTATTGTAATGATGTAGAATTCAAATACAAATCAAGATAATTTTAACACATATCTATACTATAAACAGAATATTCCTTATGTTCATTTGCTTATATTAAAGAAAATAAAATATTAGATACTAGTCTCAATCTAACTGATAAGACTAATTTAACTCAAAATAAGAGTAATGTTTTCATAATGAAGTAATCCTTATTTGAAGAATGGGATTGTAAAAAGAAAATTATGGATTCTAGAAGATCTACTACTCTTGATAAACAACCTTAAATAGAATCTGAGGGATAAACTTTAGCTTAAAAATTAGCAACAATAAGAGAGAGTTTAAATTTTGAAAAACCATAATAAAATTAAATTGATAATGATAAATAAGATCGTTGTCGATAAAAAAGTCTTATTCAATTACATTAAATTTAAGTTGAAGATTTACCTTAAAATCCTACTCCAATAAAATTGGATAATTTACTTAATAAAATACATGTCAATAAACCAGAAAAACCTATTGATTAATTATTAATAATATAAAATAAATAAGAATTATAAGATTCATTACCAACATTTTAAAATGATAATTAATTCACTAATATTAATGATACTCTTAATAAAAAGAAATCTAAATAATAAAATGGTATTTAAAGATCAAATAAAAGATTAGATAGTATGTCAGCATAATCTGGTATTGATTTACAAAATAATAGTGGATTTATTTAATAATAAGATAGTTTTATTGATATTTTAGATTCTGATTCTATTAAAAAGGATTTACCATTATAATTATAACCTTTTGATAAATCTAATAAATATAAGAAAAATACTTTGGATACTATTCAATCTTATGAAAATGAATAAGATCCAAAAACTACAAATAGATTATCAATTAAAAAGGATTAAATACTTCAATAAAGCAATAGATCACCAAATAAAATATCCACTAAAGATCCTTTAATTACTGAAAGAAGTACTACTAATATTGAATAAGCAAAATAAGATTTAGAAACCTTGGTTAATATGATAAATAAACAAAAAGAAAATATTGAAATTTCAAAATCTATTAGTACTGTAAAATCAAGTATAAGAATGATATCACCTCCAATATAAGTAGGATCTGCATTGATACGTCCAGAAAGTAAAATAACTCCATTAAAAAATAGGAGATCATCTGTTATTAGTGAAACATCTTAATAAGAATCATTTAAATTACCTAAAAGAATCTCAAAATAAAATATATCTTAAAAATTAATTACTTAATAATCATTCAATTCATCAAGTTAAAATTCTTAATTTCAATTTGATTCTCATAACTTTAGATAATTAAATACTTTATAAGATCAAGAATCATAATTAGATTTAAAAAGTGCTAAAAAACTCTTTGATTAATCAATCACTTAATAATTGAAAAACTTTGATCAAAATAAAGGACTTAAAAAGGTCTAATGTTCATCATAAGTCAACATTCTACGTAATAATAGCTTAAGTAAAAAACCAACCATAATTGTTAATAATTAATAAATACCTAAATTGAATTTTAGAAAGTAAGAAGCAATCTTAAAGAAATTATTCTTCCGTTTAGATGTTAGATTAAAATTGTAATAATTAGAGTTTGTTAATAATTTAAAATGTTTGCTTTGAATCATACTTTTTCATATTATTATTAATTCTATTAAAATTATTATAAGATAATAATATTAAGATATATTAAATCTATTATATATTTTAGAACATAATTATTTAAATATTATTTTAAAATCAAGTCTTTAATAAATATAATGTATAATTCTCAACCCACTTTCTAAAATATAGTTCAAGTAATTCTAGTTGATAATTTAGTCACAAAGAGTACTGAATGATGGTTTAATGGATACAGTATCAGAAATTAGATGGAATAAGGATCTTTTTGTGACTTCATCTTGGGATGGATATATCAGGTTTTATTAGACTTAGCTATAATCTGGTTATAGGGCAAACATATAAGTAGATTTTAAGACAGCGATAGATTGTTAAGAACCGTATAGTATTGATATGATTAGTTAGAATTTTATCTGTTTGTTGGAAATAAGACATGACAATGGTATTTGCTGCATTAGCAGATAATACAATAAGAGCATATGATATAAAAACATAGAATAATGCAATTATTGGAATGCATGATGATTGTCCTGCAAGACAAGTATTTTGGAATGAAGACTTAAAACTAATTATATCATTAGGTTTAGATAAAAAGTTAAGATTTTGGAATCTATAAGCTAATGGTCTAGGAAAGCCATAGCCTGCATTTTAATTAGAATTATAACATATACCTACAGTTGGAGAATAGAGTGGAAATGAAAAGTTTTTTGCATATGCAGATATTGATAATAAATTTAGATGGCTTAATTGGAGTGTTTTAAGAGGTAATTAGAATAGTGTAGCATCAAGAAGTTTCTTTAATATGGAAGATAATTATTTATAAGGATAGATTTCATGTATAGGAATCACTGAAAATGCATCATAATTGGCATATGCAACAGTTGATGGAAGAGCTATAGTTAAATTTATAAATAGTATTGGAGAATTATCAAGCAAACTCTAATTTAAATGTTATAAAGAAGAAGAAGAATAAAAAGTATCATAATATCGAACAGAAAAGATCTCTCGTATGTATATGTGCAATACATTTTAATTTAATTGTCGATCATCTAATTGGGCAGGTACTTGTGGATCTGAAGGTACTCTTGCTTTTTGGGATATTGGTAAAAAAAACAAGATCTTAGGAGTCAAATTAGATGGTCCTATTGTTGCAGGATAAGTTTCATAAGATGGACAAATATTTGCATATGCAACTGGATATGATTGGGCATAAGGTTTAGATAAAGTAGGAGAGTTTACAAATAGAGTAGGAGCTGCTTATATAGATGACAAATTTATACCTTCTTATTGATTATAATAATTTATACTAAAATTTAATTATTTTTAACGGGGTAGTTAATTAACATTTTTAAATAATATTATTAACATGATCAAAAAGATACTAGTACTCATATTCTTAATGGTGGTTGTTACTTCTAAGGTCGACATTGAGAGAGTTAAGACTGTTATTCAAAATGCCAGAGAAATTTGTTGGAATGAATTAACAGATAATGAATGGGTCTATCCAACTTATTTGGGTACTCTCTTCTTAAGTGAGTATTATTTTGAACTCAAGGCACTTGGGATATAGAATTCTTAATTTCAAGAATCTAAATTCACTTAAATTTTACTTGATTCTTAACTATCTGATGGCTCTTGGGTTTAAGTGGAAGATGCTTTCATTTAAACGGGGTAATTGGATGCCACCATTTTTAATTATTGGTATTTGAAAGCAGTAGGAATTGATATTAACACTGATACAATGAAGAAGGCTTAGGAATGGATTAAGGCTCATGGAGGAATAGAGAAAGCTCAAACCATGACTAAATTTAAATTAGCCATGTTTGGATAATACCCATGGAAGAAATTGTTCAAAATTCCATTAATATTATTTTATAAAAAGTTTAATCCTCTTTATATAAAAGAAATCACTGCTCAATGGGTTTATCCTCATATGACTGCTTTAGCTTATTTATAAAATTAGAGGATCATTTTCAATATGCCTGTAAATATTAGTGAGTTGTATAAAAATAAAGCACCAAAAATAAAAAATCATCAGAAAAAAGGCAGACCTTCATTCTTTATTAACAATCTTGTTTAAGAAATGTTAAAATTACGATAACCTATGGGTAGTTTTGGTGGTTATACTGTATCTACACTATTATCAATGTTGGCTTTACATGATTACTCTGGAAGGACTAATAAATATAACACTGAGATTAATGATGCTTTGAGAATGGGATTTGACTTTGTTGAATTCAATTATTTCAATTTTAGATAAGCTTATCATGGAAGTTTGGATGATGGTAGATGGTGGGATACTATTTTAATATCTTGGGCTATGTTAGAATCAGGAGAGGATAAAGAAAAAGTTAGACCAATTGTTGAGAATATGTTATTAAAAGGTGTTTAACCAAATGGAGGAATTGAATATGGTTATGATTTTGGTTATGCTCCAGATGCAGATGATACTGGTTTATTATTATAAGTTTTATCATATTATGGAAATGATTATGCACATGCATTAGATAAGGGAGCTGAATTTGTTTATAGTGTTTAAAATATAGATGGTGGATTCCCTGCATTTGATAAAGATAAAATGGGAAAGAATCCATTATATAAATATGCATTCTAAATAGCAGGAATAGCAGATTCAGCTGAAATATTTGATCCATCTTCACCAGATGTCACTGCTCATATTTTAGAAGGTTTAATAAGTTCTGGTAGAAGTAATTATGAAGTAATTGTTAAATCTTTGAAATACTTTATGGAGACACAAGAATAATTTGGATCTTGGGAAGGTAGATGGGGAATAAATTACATATATGCAGCAGGTGCTGTATTACCAGCTTTAAAGAAAATGAAATACTCTTTAACAGAATAATGGGTTAGTAAGGCTGTGCATTGGTTGATTAGTAAGTAAAATGCAGATGGAGGATTTGGAGAGACTACTTTGAGTTATAATGATCCTAAGAAGTATAATGGAATAGGAATATCAACAGTTACTTAAACATCATGGGGATTATTAGGATTATTGGCAGTGGAAGATCATTATGATGTGGAGGATGCAATCTAGAGAGCAGTAGAATATTTGTTAGAATCATTTGAGAGAGATGGTGAATTTAAGGATATCTCAGTTGTTGGTACTGGTCATAGAGGATTATTATATTTGCAATATCCAAGTTATGCTCGTTCATTTCCTATAATTAGTTTGGGTCGTTATGTAGATTAATAGAAGTGATGTTATATTTTATATATAAAATTTTAATTTATGGAAATTTAATAAGGGGATTAATTGAGAGTAGCTGCAAAGCATCATATTGAGAGTTTTAATTATTTATATACTCATGGTTTGGTTGAGATATGTCGACATCTAAGTCCTGTAGAAATTTGTGTACCTGGAAATAGAGACATTCGATTACCATTTAAGAATATGAAGATTTGGATTGAGGAATTATAAATAGGGATGCCAACATAATAAGGAATGTTAGGAGATAATAGAGTCTTACCAACTTAATGTAGATAAATGAAGAAGAGTTACACAGCTCCTATGTTAGCCACAATTTGTAGAGAGATTGATGATAATCCAAAAGAGACTGTTCGTTTGTCTTTAGGAGAGATACCAATATTAGTGAAAAGCCAAAAGTGTCACTTAAATGGATTGAGTGCAGAAGGTATTTTTGATTTGGCTAAATGAAAGAATTGGTGTAATAGCAAGAGGATTGTAATGAATTTGGAGGTTACTTTATAATAAATGGAAATGAGAAAATTATAAGAATGTTAATCATTTAAAAAAGAAATTATCCAATTGCATTTAAGAGACCAGGTTATAAGAACAAAGGATTTAATTTTTCTCCTTATGCAGTATAAATGAAATGTGTGAGATCAGATTAATATGCAAGAACAATTACTTTACATTATTTAATGGATGGCAATGTTTATTTGCGTATCATATTAAAGAAGAAGGAATTGCAAATGCCTGTAATAATATTATTAAGAGCATTAACAGATATGAATGATTATCAAATTTATTAATAGATAGTACGTTCATAAGCAGAAAAGTCAGATATATCTGATAGAGTAGAAGTAATGATAGCAGATGCTAAATCAAGAGGAATTAATACTTAAAAAGATGCACTTGAATATATTGGTAGATTACTTAGAGTAGAACTTAATATATTTAATCCAGAGACTACTGATCTTTAAGTTGGACGTATATTCTTAAGAGAACATATATGTGTACATTTAGAAAATGATTAAGATAAAGCTTCAATTCTCTTATTGTGCATTGAAAAGTTGTATGCTCTATTTATAGATGAAATTAATCCAGATAATTTGGATTCATTAGTTAATTAAGAGGTTCTCCTCTCTGGTCATCTCTATACTGCATATTTAAGAGAAAAATTAGAAGATTTGTTAGTTGGAGTCAGAGAAAAAATATTGAAAGATTCAACTAAGGAATAATCAAAATTAAAAGATTTAGCTTATTTTAAAAGATGTTTTGATTTATAAACTACTGTTGGTGAAAAATTGGAAAATTTCTTAGCTACTGGTAATTTGAGATCTCAAACTGGATTAGATTTAATGGAAGCAAGTGGATTTACTATTATTGCTGATAAATTAAATAATATGAGATTTTTATCTCATTTTAGATCTGTTCATAGAGGATCTTATTTTGCATAAATGAAAACAACTACAGTACGTAAATTACTACCTGATGTTTGGGGATTTGTCTGTCCTGTCCATACACCAGATGGAGGACCTTGTGGTCTACTCAATCATATTACAATGAGTTGTGTACCATTAACACATCCAGATGAATAAGATATTGAAGAATTGTTATTTCCTTTAGGAGTTTAATCTTAACGTTTAATTTATTCTAAAAATGATCTCCCAGTAGTTTTGAATGGTAAATTAATTGGTTATTTAAATTCATAATTATTACCTACTTTTGAACATACACTTAGAGTATATAAATCTAATGGTAAAATTAAAGAAACAACTGAAGTTGCTTGTCTTCCAAG